ATCATCTAACACCAAATCTCGTCAAACAGCTTTCTTGGAGAAGGCTTAGAGGGAGGGCTTTTTGAAAAGGCAGGCCCCTAGAAATCAAGGTAGAGGTGGCCTGAAATTCACCGTGGAGAAGAAACCAAGAACAACGGAACAACCCGAGAATCAGACCCCTTTTTGCCTATTGGTTTGCGCGGTAGGTGTATTTCACGAATGCTTAGCCCGGCTGTTTTTCACTAGGTTCCTTTCCCCCTTTTTCATCCTCCGCCCTTATCGTGAAATCTTCCCATAGAGGTCACCTAAGCAGAGATCCTGTGAGCGCTCCGATTCGGTCCGTAATATAGACCCCTAAGGACAATCGCAGATGTAGCATTCCAGTACAAGGAAATCACCCAACAAGAGCACTTGCACCTTGCAAAGTAAGGTGCTGTAGCGCACTCTCGACTCATACTCTCCTCTCCGCGCTTAGTCTCTCATTCCCTTAGCACAGCCGATTAGGAAGGTGAGTGAGCCCTTAACCTAAGCGTTTTCGACGGATTCTTTTCCTTTTTTCTTCTGCCGGCCTTTTTTTCCACCAATACATTCGCATTCGTGTGCAAAGGCCACACAAACATGATCCTGGAGCATGCCTTCAGGTGGTCGAAATCAACATTGGCAACATTGGAAGCTCGAGTGTCTCTATGCCAACCTAGTCGTCAATGGTGTCAAGTATAGTTGCATAGAATTTAATACCACGATTTTGGTTGCACTGTTCACAATGAAATTGAGATATTCAGCAATCGCATGAAATACTGCCTCAATTCAAATGGGAATTGCAAATAAGGTTTGTTGAGCGCTAATGCATTTATCAATCCAATAGGCAGCCGCATTACATGACAATCTGTGGCAAATTTTCTCTCCTACGCTTACATCCACCAAATCCCTCAAAAAGCAATCTAGCCAATCTAAATCCCCTAAAGGCAAGAATCAGGATTACATTGATGGGTTGATTCCACTCAAATGTGAAAGTAGGGATGGAGGTGGACCGCCAGTGGAGAAAAAAGGAAAGAAAATCCTGAAATACACAGGAAATACGAGCATTTTGCTCATGCTGTGGAGAAGTTCAAAAGACAGGCAGGGAGATGAGAGATAATGTGAGCGCGGAGAGTGGTAGAGAATTCCGAGAGAAAGCAGATCAACGCAGACGACATCGATCGGTGGGCGGACCATGTTATGTTTGGTGGAGTCTGTTAGAAGTTCATGGCGCCTAGGGTCCTGGTGACGGGTTTCGATGGTTGTGGTTCGCACTGTATATTTAAGCAACTCTCATTTTATCTTACCGATCCAGGCGATCCATTAACTGATGACTTCACCACTTTCTGCAAAGAACGAACGAGCTCTCAAACGCATTACTGCGAGTGTTTTGCTTACGCTATGATACTAATATAAGGTCATCCAGTGTGTAATGTGGTTTGGCAATCGCTCCATGAAGCGCTTCTTCTTATTTTAATAAACCAGATTGGTCCCCCGGCAACCACCGGGACCTCCTTACCTGCGTAAGCTTTACTCCTTCCAATGTGCTCCCATCCACTGGTGACATGGACACCTCGTGGAGGTGGCACGCATGCACAAAAAAGTGTCTTATATAGTAGAAGGCATTACCGTAATCGTGACATGACCTTAGAATGATATTAATTGGACCTCAGGTCTTTTGGCGGTTAGCTCCCCTCGCCCTTCTCCATCTTATCCTATTCCCTCTACTGCTCTCCAGCTGCTATTGCAGCATCATGTG